TAGTGTCGCATGATCACTGTGGCACAAAGGAGTATCGGTTATCACTCTCTCGACCATCAGTTCTTCATTAGTGAATATTCGGTCCAATATGGATGGCCTGTTAGTTCCCCTGAATCTGGTGGGCGTAGTGACGTGACCGTAAAGCGGGAAGTCTGAAACCGGATCTTGCAAATCTGCTTTGAATTGCTCTTCTGGTGTGGCCCGGTATTAGAGGGCATGTTAATTAACCATAAAACTTGTTATTTTGGTTTTCATGGTGCTATCGTTCTCACACCCCTACTCCTAGTATACCATTGCGCTGTCAATTTACTGATCCATTTTCATTTTTCACCTGTGCAATCTTCTAATTCGCGTCATTGACTTGTAAACCTACAGAACTTGTCATACTGTTGCTCTTTTACTCGTCATACTCCCTTGCTTCATTTGGCGGCAAACAGCTTACTTAATTTTGGCTGCAAATCGACTAGCACTTAATCAGGAATTGGAGTATAATTGTACATCAAAGTACCTATCAAAAACTTTTATCGGCCGACAGCCGAACGGTCTGCTTAAGACTTAGTGTAATTTTTAACATCTGCTGACACGTACCTAATATCTCAATTCTATGCTTGCTGTACACTAACCTTCCAGGCTTTAATAATCAATTGACAGAACTTAGAATTCGTCAGGCATCAGAATAATGAGTCCTGGTCATGATCACAGAGAACTAGTAGAACCTTATGATAAGTGATTGTAAGATTGCTTTACCCAGGTAATCGCTGCTTCGGGAAGATAAATATAGAGGGGGAGATGCAGCGATTCCTTATCACCAACCTAACCGCCGATGAGAACTCAATGAGCACATGGAAATCCCCGCCATTGATACTCTTTGTGCCGGCTATGCTTGCGTAAGAAGCACACATGTCCAATAGCCGTAATTTGCCGTACACTAAACTCTACTTTGAAAATGGTCTACAAACTGAACCACGTATAAAGGTTGCGCTGAGCAAGTTATACAGACACATTCTTATCACAGGAGAATTGAATGTGAACGATTTGAAGTCTTAGCTTCCAATTGCACAACTTACAGCTTATTTGCAACTTACTCTAGTTACTTTATGTACAATCAAGTCAACTCCACTATAACTTGAAAGCTGTTACCCGCAGATGAATGGAGATGAAGGAGCCGAACACCACTTTCAGTTCGTCCTTTATTCATCTTGCCTGTAATGGATATAAACAACAGCCATATAGCTCTGCTTTCTCTAATGAGGAAATTCGACTGACGAATTACGTCATCCCTCTCACTAGATTTCGAACGGAGGTCAGGCGCACGATACTTGGTTTTTACTCATCAATGAAGAAATCCTGGTCGACTGGAAGGCCACAAACATCTTTAAAAAGTCGCATTGACTATGTAACCATACTAGTTGACCAAACATATGATCCGGAATATCCCGAAGGACAGGATGAAAACTATATACTAGTGCGTACTTTAACGTGTTTTGTCCGCGGCTGTCGGAGAGGTATGTTGAACCTACTTGGCTGAATAAACCCCTGAGGTCACTTGGGAAGCATTCACACAAATCTTTATTGCGGTAGCTGCGGACGTCTCAGAGTTGAGACCCATCCGTCGTCAGAGTAGCGTAACATGTGATTGTATGCCCTTAATGGATTTGGTTTTGCAAGTTCATAAGTATTCTTTTAATACCAAAACCCAGACTGCACACGCCTCCCAACATAACCGCAGTGTGAAGTCGATTCCCTAGCACAAGGCGACACATCAGCAGGAAGTAATGTAGTGATTTTGTACGAACCAACTGTCATGCAGGCACGTTAACGTCCTCCGTAATGTGCGGCGCGGAATCCAACCATTTATTATGATTGATGGGCATACATCATGAGAAAAGGAGGCGACTTAGTATTCGAGGCTTCATTACTCCCATAAGTCTCAGAGACTACGGAACTCCAATCTTCTCCGCCATCCTCGTAGCCCAGCACAAGTTTAATACATTAAAACGTCCACCGCAGAAGCTATGTTGATGAAATTTTTATCCAAACATACCCACATTTCTACTGGAACAGACAGCATTTTGCTTAAAGCTCCGCATGCAGCAGCCAGTTATCTAGCAGGACAGCAGGTCACGTTTTGTCAGCGCTGTCTGTAGTAGAATAAAACTCCACCGGTGTGAAATTGACGCAGTGACACTCCTATTCATAAGGCAGGTAGAAGAGATGGCTTTGCGAATCATCGTCCAATAACGATGTTTCCTATGCTATCTAAATTCATCAATTTAATTCTCCCAGACTCACTGACCAACTATCTGGAAAAGTATAATATATTGTCATCTGAACAACACAGATTTTATCGAGGCTGCTCGTGAACCACCAACCTGCTAATTTGTCAAAATAGGAGGATCAAATCAGTGGATGGTGAACTGGGAGTCGATCTCGTCTATCCGCATTTCTCGAAAGCATTTGATAGACTAAACCATCACATTCTCCTCCACAAACTTCGAAACTATGGGATTTGTTATTCAATTCTTGTTGGAAATACAGTTTTCTACATGAATGTTGGTCGGAGGTAAGAATCTGGGAATCCATGTCCGAAGCAATTGAAGTTGAGTGTGATGGACCACAAGACCCGATGCTAGTACCTCACCTACCTCGTCTAGTAATGGGGATTGCCTCTTATTTCTATTCTCACCGGAGGATATCAAAACATTGAAAGAGATCGGGCGACCGGACGACCATGGCGAGTTTAGTACTATCCTAACACGATTTTCTTTTGATCAGCTGAGCATATCCGGCCATTTGATTAAGAAGAATGTCGGTTAGTAAACCACACCACATGCATATGCAGGCGTGTGTTTGAAGCACACAGCTGGTAGACCAGTTCTATAAACACTCCATTCATCTGCTCGTACAGAATGACTTCACTGTTTCTCAAAAGTCTGAGGCAGATACAACATTGGTCAACTATAATTCGGCCCGCTGCAGTGGGCGGTCAGGGGTTCGGACTAAGCAATCCTCTCAGTGATGCTTAATTTTATCTAAACCCCCACATCGAATATGCTGTCCAAGCTTGGTACCATCGCGCAAGAACCATCTACAGACCTGCGACGCTTAGAAGCGAAACAAAGCTCAACAACAGAAACATGCAAGAAAGTGACTGCCTCTTGCCATTCATTGCGAGCTCAGTTTCATCTTAACTTGATTTCATTATGGTAGACGCCTGAAGTGATTTTTCGAAGAGGATACCATACGCGCAATTGTTAATCGCTGATTCAAAATGTGAATTTTTTATGCTTGATCTTCACATGCTCGACATTACAACGCGGGTCAACGAATAACCTTAACAGCTTACGCAATCTCTCTTACCAGCAGAGTTTAAGGTACTGTGAGTTTATGGCGGACGCTATCGGTGACTAGGCGGAGTTCCCATATTTGGATACAAATTATTTAGTGTTTTCAATCAGGTATGTATCAGGTTATTGAAGAGCAATTGACACACTGGCCTCAGAGGCGATCGTCTTATACAGGGGAACAATGCGGCCCTCCAGAAAAATAGTTTAACTTATTTTCATCCGCGTTTGCCGACTCTAGAGCTCTCAAAAACTCCGCCTTCTACCATAGTTTACATATCTTCAAAGAGTTATTGCTATAAGCACCTACCACTTCGTTACATAAACTGCGCCACTTCGAAATATATTTCTAAGGTGCTTAAACCAGGTTTATTTATCACACGGGTAATAGGAAGCGGAAGATGAGTGGTAAATTTTTATTATTTCACAGAATGTCCTTAATATCTCCTCCAGTTTGTTTCGTATGATTGTATTCATTTCAAAGCTCACACTATCATCCTGCGGCAGCGCAATTAAACCGGTAGGTGACTAAACGGATGACGCATTTAACTTGATTTTATTGTTTATTTACCTTATCCACTCTACGGAAATTTATTCTTTCCAAGTATGCTGTCAGTAATACTCAGTGGCTATTGTACGCTTAAGTTGAATTTTTCTGACTTCGGCCGTTACAGATACGTGCGAAGCACATTTATTTGATGTTTCTGGGGAGTTACTCAGTACTCCCGTGTATTTCCGAACATTTACGCTCGACTTTTAAGTTTGCACTGATGTAATTATTCAAGTATTCATCTCAGAAGACTTCGCTAGACGACTCACACATTTTGATTTCATCGTATTCACCCCAACCAGCCTACGGGACGTGTCAAGCACTTGCTTTTATCCCGTGATAAATCAGTGTTCATTGCTCAACACAGTAATGCCATACTTGAGACAGCTTCAGAATTTTCACAGAACTGAACAGACACATGATAGATTAACCTGTCGTACGGAACATCTAACTACTTCACTTTCGTGCCTGCAGGGTATTCGAGCTGAATTCGTCCTTCGTGAACTTAATCCATGCATCAACCTATCGACCACAAGATGGCGCTCAATTAAGGGGTCGGTGGGCCTGTTATGACGCAACGTGCTTTCTTTATTGGAGTATTAACTGACCCGGCCAACACACATTCCAGATGACAGGACAACGATTCTACTGAAGCCTATTTCATATGGTAGCAGGATCATACATTACTGTGGAGCAGGCAATTGCATTTCTCACCCAATCTTAAGGCAGAACTTGAACCACAGCATCTCGTGACTATGTTCTTTTGCATAAAACGAGACTGTTGTAAAACGCAAATTAAAAAAGTACCAAATGACACTAACGAGCACAAAATCATCGTATTCATTCGTCGATTTCGCTGTGATAATTGACACAGTAACCCTTTTACTTGCGCTGGACAAATAGTTTAACAGTTGGGGAGTATATTCTCCTAAGTCTAATGATTTACTTCAGCCTGCCCTTATATGCATGTGGTTAAGAAGTGGTATGGAGGATACAATGCGCAATTTGTGTAAAACAGCAACAGTGTTTGAGTTGTCATAGTTTGGCGTACTTCAGAAATTATCCTACGCATCGCAAGACACGCGATTTACAACAAAATTTTACAAGCCGAAGCAAACCACAGGGCGATGACACTAGTTGATCAGCGTAAAGGAAAGATAACATAATTCCTTTGTTGATAGTAATTGTTTTAGTGGAACATTAATCACACATCGGCTGATCCGAGGGTGGACAGGCACAAACTCACCCTGTTGATAAACGCTGAAATGACAAAATAGGATATCGGATCAGACCCTCGCTCGAGTCGCATCGATGACCGAAGCAAGATATCATTATCTACTTGTTGAAATGAGGTAGCCATTCTATCATGAAGGCTTATCTGAAACCTATAGGTTGTTGTGACACAATGACGCAACACGAACTCTTCTGAAAATCCATAAAATATACACACGCGGCATTCACATTTGTCTGTCTACCGACGGAAGGCATGGCTGGTAGATACGTTAACTAGTGTTAAATTGGGATTCTTCTGCTTGATACTACCTATCGGTAGCATCAATGCCGGCAAATTTAGGAGGGTTGAATTGCGCCTTACAGGACCCTTATGATAGAACAATGAATTATCAAAGGCTGACGTCACCCACGGAAATACCCATTCATGGCAACCAATGCAGTCAAACGGATCCTCTGATTCAGCTCAGCTTGCTTTCGGTATTCTATTCAGGTACACAGTTGATGCTGAGGCTGTACAAATTCTCAGCTTCTTCTGAGACCTCCGCAACGGTTTTACTAAAATTTATCAGTCTACTCTAAGAGCATTTTCCGAAGGTATGTTTTTGGTACGAACATACAGCATAATCTTCCTAGTTGCAGGATAAAAACAACTGAATAGAAGTGTCCTAAGAGTTAATCGTGTTTAGAAGCTGACACTCAAAATACATGACGATCCATTAGCACTATAACTTAACTAGACCAAAGCGACAATAGTCAGTTGAGAAGCGCAGTTATTTTCGATATATGACATTGCTGTATGTACCAACTGCAATCAAAACTACCGCGTACACTATGGCAGACCTCTTGACGGCGGACGGCGTCAGAGTTAATATCCTAATTGCCCCAAGTTTAGTGCTCTTACCTCCACCCGATAAGGTCAAATAAGGCTGAAACGCGTCATGGAACGCAGTATTCTTGGGCTGGCAACATCCAATATTCGGAAACCCCGCTGATGGTTATACTTCACTACATGGGGTACATGAGAAGTACAGGATGCATCGTCAAAGATAATACAAGCTTATGCTATACTGCCAAGTGGTGTATGGCTCCGCGCAAGCACATGCATGCAGTCAGTCATCCTGTGCCAGCAACCGCACACCAAATGGGTTAATATGCTTGCACTTGCAACGTTGTTGTGGTATTCACTGTCATTAGTATCACACGCTCGCGTCTCCTCAACCACACAAAGCACACCCTGTTGGGAATTCCCTACTTGCTGGTCGATACTTGCCTTACCACCCTACGAGAGCTATGAAGCGTAGGTCATGCTTAGCCTCAAAGTCTACACTAGGTTAGTTAATTATATTATTACTGACAGTTGGCTGGTACATATTGACAGTTTAGTCCCCAAAGAAAACAATAAGCAATCAACAAAACTCGGTGTACATGAGGGTTTGCTACTGATAGATGTTAACACTGATGGCAAGTTCCCTTGTTGCAGATGCGTCTGAGAAACTAAACGGGCAAACTATCTAGCACATAAACTTCCCACACGGAAGGCAATTAAGGTCCGCATATTTCCCGCGAACTTCAAGCTTTACGCGCTAAATCTTCTAGAAAGCCTGATTGCAAGGCAAATACCTGAAGTCCTTCCAGTTTACGGGTTGGTTGCTCTCAAAGAGCACTAAAAACATCGAATGATGGGCGCAGCAACTGCTAATATGTGAAACGGAACTTGCAAGTTGTCTTTTGTGTCATCCATTAGGTATGTTACGGCTATCCTGAATGACCAATTAGCATTAAGAGGTCTTTTTTGGCTGATTTTGGTCAAATATCGAGAGCAGTTCTAAGTACAACTAAATTAGTTAGACGGCTAAGATGATATCTTTTTCTCCCAAGATGTTTTAACATTGTTTACTGGGTCTTAGGTTTATGACTCCGGTACACCCTCATTTCGGATGAACGCTGATACACTTTTGAAACGAGGCATCCTTGGCGAAGCTGCAAATTAATTTCCTTGTAATTGCTAGTATATCTTTGTTGTTTGTCTTTTTATAGCAACTAAGAAACCGAGTTTCGAACAATTGAGCGCATACAAGGAATTCCGACTAGACTAGCTTCGTGTATCTCGACACACGTACTGTGCACCTTGTCAAAGAGATAACTGACCTGCGCGGTAAACCGATTAACTGATGGGTACAGGTATTTTGACAGCTGACTTCACAAGTTGACGGGTGACCGGTGACCTAGAAAATATCATCGTAGGGTTGCAAACTGAGCTTAACGATTGATTGCGTCCGCATGTTATTGGAACATTTAAGGTATCATGGTTTACATCGACTGAGCTATCCAACTAATGGCATTGATCCGTTGCCAACAAGAAATAATAATTCGAACATCCCAAAGTAACTTAATGAGAAGAAGGGGATGGTTTGGTGAGCAACTGCTTTCAATGATTCAAAATTCATAATTCAACGCGTCACGTGCCCTGGTATTTTTGTCATGGTATAAAAACATATGAGCATGATAGCCGTTTATGTAATGAAACGATGCAATCTAATTATGGACGCATGCGCGACGTGCAATGGTCGATGGCTGGGAATGGCTCAACTAGTGAATTCGGCAAAACGAATTTTCCGGCACTAGCAAGAAATGTCCAGTTAAAACAATACGAATTGATCTTGCCACAATATGTGATTAAGCGGGACTAAATATGAGAATCGAGAAATGCAAAAGAACTACCCCCATTTTCTGCACTACAAACAAGCGTACAACTGAACATGTGCGATTGGGTTGAGTGTGTTGCGTCACTTTTTCACAGGCGGTCGGTGTATCGTGGCATGTCCTAAAGTCTAATGCACAAGGCTAGAATGACGCTGGTAGGAGCCTTATATGGTTTATTTGCCAGCTCATGTGATGGGATACAAACAATATGGCCCAATTTTAAGACCTTTCTGAAAATTAAAATCGTGTCGCTCATCTGATTGCTACAAATTTGTCAGGAACATCGTGACGAGGATACGGTTTAGAGACATCCCAGCCAAGCCTTAGTGTCTGCGTATTTGACAAAGAATATGTTGCCATATTTTAGCTGTGCGTTAAAGCGTCGTCCTGAAGCAATGAAGAGTGAAAACAATGAAAGCTATTTCCGGATGAGTCAGCGTCTCACTGATTCATTTGTCCGCTGCGCAATATTGGGTGTTGTATTGGCACGTATTCCTTTGGTGAATGCTTTGTTCTACCAAAATCACCACCGTCCAATAATTAGACTGTCAGACGGTAAAATCAATTTGATGCGGATCACCAAACCAAATCGCCAGATGCGAAATGTGTAGGCTAGTGGCTTTTTTCTGGTTTGCGGGGTTATCACAACACTGCTTATCATTACAACGCTAACAAGCATCTGTAGCAGATGTGCTTTATAACCGATTTAAACATGGTATTTAGTGGTGTACCGATAGATAAAACCGTTTTCTAACATGGTGAGGCATTAAAGTGGGGCTCCTTGAAAAGCACACAAAATTTGCTCATTTAGCAATAGTGTTGATTACTACTCTGGCACGAGGTATTGTCAAACAACAGCTATTGAACACCAAATGACAACGTGACCGTGAAAACTTTCATTTATGTTACAAGACATAAAAGGAATCAATTTTATCGCCCATATATTTGGAAAATTGACTCAACAGAGCATAGTTGTGGATTTTCTCAAAAAATATACCTAACTAAAACAAACAGATGTTGTGGTAGAATATCTAAAGTAAGTCAACTTCTGCTGCTTTACTATGTGTATAAACATGCAGGTGGACACTAGATGCTTTTCATATGTTCTGCGTGTGCTACTTTCGGTGGGCAGCAGATGCGTAGGGGTTATGCCTGCTTCCAGCTAGACCAACAACAAAGTCTAAGATAGTGAACAGATGATTCGATATAACTGATATTCCAGAGTGAGCTCAGCGAGACAACCAGTAAACACTTGAATTGGTAGGTAATAGCTTCTTATCCCTTTTATCTGTCCAGTAGCGCAGATCCGTTAGATTTGGTGATTTACTTACATCAAGATCAAGTTTACAAAAGTTGACTGGAAGCAAGGTACCCACAGAAGGGAGCCTGTAAGGTCTTGGCGAACGAACTGGGTAGATCAGTCGTGTGAGCTGTCGGAAAGTGCGTTGTTTGACAACTGGAAATGTTTTCCTCCCCCCCTAACACTGCTAATCCAACCAGGACAGTACGCACTACGGACAGGTCTGCAACGATAAAATGGCGACTCTTTGCTTGTATAGAGCTCTAGGCACTCTATGATTTTAATGTGTTCGTCGCTATCAGCTGACACTTTAGATAACTACCAATCAGGAAAGTCACCAAACGGCCGTTTCACCTTATTGGGGTTCGTGAGTGATGCGCATCCTTCGGTCCCCTTCCGAGGATGCAGTGGACATTCTCTGTGGTCTCAAAATGAGATCACAAAGTCTGACTGAATTTGAACTCGACACACAACCATACCCACCGCAATCATATGAGACTAATTGTTAGTTGCACTTTTCCTCAAAACTATGCGGCTGCTATGTGCTCCCTTACCATCACTTTATTGCCTCTGTCTGCCTTGTACCATATTGCAAACGAGAGGAATTACCATGTTATGCACCGGCAAATTTTCCCTGCATCATGTTGTGGAGGGAACAGATTGTTTCAACTTCAGGGAACACCTTCCTTAATACATAGTTTAGATACAACATGTAGACGTACTTGAGGCTGCTCTTAGTTTGATTTTGAGGCTCAGCTGCTAAAGGGATGAGTTGTCTTTTCGCCTCTGTCGGATTGCGAATCATGAAATAACTAACTATGGACTGTACCATTTCTCCGTTGACTTCATATTTAACGCCATGGCTTTCATCCGTAGTGCTGCATCTTCCATCCGTAGCACAAAACTATGGTCCGACAGTCACTAAAAGTGTATCCACTATGCTCTCAGTGAGTCAACTGTCCGGTAATCTCAAACGGACATCTCATTTGCTCACTTAAGCCATCCGTTTGTCCAGGTCACACCGCATCGGACAATATGGGTGCTCAGTAGGGGGCTAGCTCATGAACTGGCTACAAAAAGCACAGTCTGAAGTGTGAAGACTAGGCGAAGTCAACACACTTCTGGACCGACGCAGACGTAAAAGTTAACGTTTGCGGCTTTATCGAGCGCGTCGTGCAAGTAGTCAAAATCGTCACACTAAAGGGGCTGGTGTAAACTAAGGTGATGTCCATTTAAAGAGAACGAACAGCTGCATCCCTGCGGGCGTCGTGGATGCAAGATTCATGGCTGACGGATTATATATTTGCGCTATGTAAGCTACTAAACTATGGATGAAAGCCATTACGTTAAGGATGCAATTAATTGAGAAATATTATAGTTTTACCAGCTTTGTACCAGGACATATGTATGAGGGATGTATGCGCAGTAGTATGTCTAACAGACACTCGGAAAATTCCCCTCAACATTCTAAGGCTGCTATCATCAGCGGTGAGGATGCCTATAGCCATTCCTTCTGTTAACTTGGTGTGTGTCTGTGTTGGCTATCAGCTCCCGGTAAGCTAAAATTGTAGTTTCATTGACGTAAGCGATTCCTCGTTGTTGCAGCCGAACAACACTTTTACGAGGGTGTGTGTGTGTCGTAGTATACTTGACACTTATTAGTGCGAAGTACACCAAAATTTGCTACTGTTTTGTCAGAATTAGACTCATGCTATTCCGCCAACTAGACCACTGATCCCAAGAACCTGCCAAGTAATGCAGGGTGACAGAATGGCACACTTGGTGAACATACCAGTTGCAGAGGTTAGTCATAGCGTGAAATGAGCTAGTTTCGATTACCCTCTAAACTCGTTTACTGCTCTTGTTCCCTCAGTCTCTAAGGCTTCCCTTCGAGTCTACAATGGATTTGGAGTGTATGGATGGTGCTTGCGGTGACGCAGCACAGTCTTACTCTTCTTTGCAGGCGCATGTGTCCTGTGGCCGCCAAAAGCCACAGAGACAGGTGACTGTGGAAACGGTTACTGCCAGCTAATACATTTCATTCCTTCGTCTGAACACCGCACGAGTGCAGCCCGCTGGTTGTACACTGAACAACCTCCGTATGTATAGGGCCTAGCATGGTAGTTGTGTTTCCCATAATCCTTAAAAGGAGTTAGCAAAATGGGTTGGGCAATTTTACTGAGAAATGGAGCGGGTTGGTTGCGTCCGAGTTAGTCAGGAAAATATCCTGGTTGCGAAGTTCTGTAAGTAGTAAGATACCGACCGACCAGACCCATGTTGAATTGATGGAAAATTCATATGAATTCACTTAGCTCAGGGTTAATAAATCTCCATTATTCATTTGCACCATCTTTCTACACCAATTAATAAGATGCAAATTTTAGGATTAAATACATGTTTACAGCGCATAATCTCTTCAGGCACCTTTGCCCAAGGTAAAGTTTCCCCATACATGGAACTGGATCCAGTGAACAAAACTAAATTGTCCTTCCTTTGTCCACTACTATTCTACCCACGTGGAAGATATAATACAATATTTTTTTCGTAATTGCGTAAGAGTACTTATGGTTGCATCATCGAAAAGTATCTTATGGACAGTTACTGGCGCCTAAATCTTTTAAACGACAAAGTCCATCCACGGAAGGAAAGCAGTTTTAAGATCGTCTATTCATTGCAGTTGACCAGAAGGTACATCAGCGTTCCACAGTTTCCGTTTGTTATGGAAAAATAGTGGCATGAAATCCTGACTGCTTAGTCGCTTAATTTTCTGCGAAAGGATGCTGTCTTCACTTTGGTTGAGCTAGCCTCCAGTTTCAAGGGACTTCGGAATGAGCAACACTGTAGTTCACCTAGGCTACATGTGATGATAACCTACGGTGGGATACAAAAGTCACGAGTGCAGGTACGTGCCACTTGTTTGGTTAGCTTCGACTGACAAAATTGACGATCCGGGAAGGCGTTGTTTACACACGAGAGGGTAAACCAGATAGCTAATAAAAGAAATGCAAAACGTTTGTTCTCATCTCATGATAAATGGAAGTGGCTACCACGAAACGGTCGTTTGGAGCCCATATGTTGATAAGCGTTTCTTGAGTGACCCTCTGGAAGATAGAGCAAGTTTAGCTATTTTGCAATTTTTGTGTCCGCTTTGCGTTTTGTGGGGCTCGGAACTGCACGGGATTGTGATGAAGTAGGCTGTTTATAGGTGTGTACAAGAATACTTTGTTCCCTAGCATAGACCGGTTGTCCTGCAACTGCTTATGGGAAACTTAAATGCACACCAAGGAGGCGAGAAAAAAATAGCATCCCTTAGTTGTTTAACACAGCAACGTTCTGGAATTGCATAACGTTAGAGCGCTCGCAACAAACGTGACAGTAAACGTCTTTTCTAACCATACCGTTATTGTCTGGAAGAATTCTTTGCAGCTTTTGTTCGGTAGCAGAATAAGAAGCTTCCTACCGCTGGGCAACTTGTCTTTCGGAATCGACTACGCTACTAAGTGACTGGCCGCTGAACAAGAAAGCAGCTGCAAGAGTGTACTACCATCGTGGCTCTGTGCAACTGTTGTCCGTATTGATGAGTGAAAAAAGAAAGTCCAGATGAATTTTGAAGTCCCGAAAGTGCACTATTGTACGTTGGGTAGGGAAAGCAGTTAGATAGTACCCGGTAAATAACACAACAAAGAATCAGTAGCCCGCATGACTGGTGCCTATAGATGCCAGAGGTGATACTAAAAGTTATAGCGTAGTTATTAGGTACGTAGACTCAATCTATCAGCGAACAGCCAGTGCTGGTGGAACAGGTGGTTTAGTGGTTAAGATACACCGGAAAGACTGGAAGTGGTTCCACTTTTTGGGTGCATTCGAGTATCATAGTAGCTGGGTTAGTGTACTTTATAATAATAATGAGTCAGCCCCAAGAATAGATTAGCTCGCTCCACACGTCCTACCAACAAATACGTTGTAATGTCTGCTTCAGGAGCTGTAGAAATAAGCATGATTAACTGGATCTGGGGAGAAGTAGCAGCACTTGTTTTATCTCCATCTGGTAACATGAGCGTGTTTACTAATAACTGACAAACATAGAAAGTGAGGCAATTAATTTACCATCTGCGTTCTGATGAATATCGAAGTTGAGAGAGAGCCTATGAAACCAAGGAGGCGAATTGGATAGTTTAAGTGTAGTTGCTTCAATGACAGTTGGCGACCAAATAATTGAGAACGATAGCACAACAAGAATTTGTGAAATGTTCAAGCTAATTCTGCTATATTTTATCCTGACCTCTACATAACTATCTTGTACTAAAGAAGAAACGTGTAAGAAGAACCAACCACAAACAATAATCCCTTCTGGAGGTGTGTTTGTACTTTTCGCTCAGATAAATAAATTCTAGGCCCTGCCAGGTTATACATTCAATTAATAATACCGTACATTTCGCCTGAGACCGAGAAATCACGCCTACAAAGGGACGGATCATATTTATAGGTATAACATGCTGACGCATGCAGGGCTGCCAATAGCTAGGATGTATGCAGGATGCACCAGGTACATTTTGGAAACATTTTCATTTAAGGCTTCCAGTATCGTTTTCTACTAGTTCAAAGGCATCCTCTGTAGTTTTGGTTCCGCAGTGAAAGCGGCGGGTTCATGCGTGGGAAAGGAACCTGTGTCGGTAAAACAATCATTCAAACAAATTTCGGTTACTTGTCCACTGTCCATCCATTTGACCGGGAAATACATACTTGCACGTTTTATATCGTGTTTTGGTCACCGACGATTTAAAGCCTCGCTACAATCGTTATGTGGCCATCCACCCACTTAGCTATGTATTTTATCAACACCCATAATTCCATATTGTCGGTTGAATAGTGTAGTTAAAGACCAGGTGTGTTACTCTTGTTTCAGTAACGAATAGCATACATATTTTGGATACATGAAGATCAGCGGCAACGGTTTTTAATGGTGTACAGGCTGAAATCATGGTAGACACATACTTGTCTTTAATTTCCTGCCAGCTCCGAATGGCCAAATGCAAAATTGGTTTGTGTTTGATTTTATCTATGGACAAATTTTCAACCAGAGAGCCTGCGTCCTTTTAATCGCTTAGCTGCTATTGCCAGTGGCGTTGAGACAACGAAAATTAAACCGATTTGCGAGGTGTTATCAAACGACGTAATAGCGCTTATTATGAAAGAAATTAAGCACAAATAGGTTTTAATCAAAAACTGCTTCGTACCATCGTGTCAAATAAGAGAATTATTTAAACATAGACGCAAAGAAGTAAACCACATGATTACGAGCTTTACCAAAGTCTTTTCTCATAACATGTTCGACAAAGCAATCACTAATTCCAGAGCGTCTACTACCGCCTAGGACGTGACAAAAAGTAGGAATGACGAACCTTTTCAGGTGCTTTGAAATACGGAAGACTGTGGAGATAATGAAAACTCACCTCAACAGGGTTTAACAGCAAAGTATGAAATTTCTCATCCAAGTCGGTGACCTGCACAGACTCCCTTCGTGAGCACATCTCATGTTCAGCCAAAATCTCTGGTGGAATCTGTGATCCGACGGTAGCACTTAATTCATCTCTCGATGACTCCGTTTGGGACATGACGTCAATATCCTTTAGGCCCTCTGAAAGCGGGGTCAGTGCTACTTTGGGCATAGTGTGTTTCTCCTCTTTATAGCGCTGACGCCTCTCTGCTCTTCTTTTGTTCCAAGAATGTTGTCGTTCCATACTTAGCGACGATGCATTTTCGATAGATGGGCATTCATGGCATTCGTCCTGTTGAACAGATTCCTCTGGTTCCATAGGATCTACAAGGACACGGAAAGAGAAGCTGTTCACCAGAGAATGTTGAAGTGCAGTACATCACCAGCCTACCTCTTACGGAGAGCACCACTTGATGATTGACGCCCAAGTTAACGTGGGTTTTATAGTAGCACTTTGAACCGACACCTGGCGGAAGTGAACGCTGTTCACTGCCAATCTCCCAACGGCACCTAACCTATGAAGCCGGGGGTGTTTATCTGAGGACAGAAATGGGTTTGCCATATGCTGATTTGTTTATGAGATGCGGACAACGCAACCAGGATATGTGAAAAGTGATCCGGGTGCATCCCAGGTGTGATTGTAGGTGGTGACTACCAGATCAAACGTCCTGGTTGACCCCCATCACAGCAACAACCGAATGTTTTTAGCATATTTATCATCGGGATGTTTCAGTGTATTGGTTTATTTATTCTTACCGTGGTCCACTTTCCCATGTTGGCATTCAAGGCATATTCGGCCGTATGCACGCTGTCCCACTTCCATTTTCCCTTTTGCCGGTTCTGCTACTGGTGCATAACCAGCAGCCTACACAAGACTAAGTAGGTTAATGCTGGTAAGAAATTGACAACCTAGACGCAATGCAATACTGATATCACTCGGGTGGACTACCACTGCAAATATATGGTATGTTCTCAGATATGCGTTCGATACATTGCTACAGATGTCCTTCAGTTTAAGCGAGCAGTGACGTCGGGCGCGAACAGCACATGGGGAACATAAAAACTAGAACCAGCGTCTAGTGGCGTCTGACGATGTAATGTTCAAACAAAGTTTTTTTTCTAGACTCGCGCTGCAGAACGCGCATGATCTGTGGATACTTGGATAAACACTAGGTTGGACGCTATGCGCACGGGTTATACCAAGGCACCCATGTGTATGCTGACACCATGCCTGCCTGAGTTCCGATTGCGGCCTTATGATTTTGCTACCCCTAATAAATACTTTGCTGGATTCCAAAAAATGCAAAACAATACTTTTTATGCTTATATTTCGTCTTCTTACCTCATTCGAATACATTCTGCCTACTGAGTAACTCAAAAATGGCGGTTATCACAGACTGATAGGTGCGATTCCCTTCAGCTTTTCTGAGGAAGCGAGGGTGCACTTTTCGATTTTTATTGTCTGAAGAACTCGACACCCTATCAAGTAATTTGACCTACTTCACAGAAAACTTTCCAATCCATCTAGATCACCTCATTATTGTGATTACCTCGAATCTGGCTCCCAACCTTATCATAAGCTGAAAGAAACCATGAATTGGTAGGTTGAACACCGGACCCTACTCCACGATTCACAACCGAATTCCTAGTGGAATATGTTCAGTTCTCTCGGAAAGTGAAAAAATGCTTGGTGTATTCAACCTCCAGCAGCTTTTCTTATAATTATTTTTCTGCTTATACAGTTTCATAGTAGCATCGCCTGATTTGCGATTTGTGTTGTTGTTACATTACTGAGCATTTGATGAAAGTAACTATGCTCTGAAAGTTTTGCCAGAGCGATCGGAATTTGTTGTTGGAAGGTGCCCAATTATGAAGCACCAGCCACGGGTCTATATTCGCTGTTGTCCCAGAACGACTGTAACAGCTGCGGAAGTTAGTAGCAACAGAGTGTCTCCCGCAGATGTTGCATTTGATTTCTCTCAAAACTGCACTGCACAACTGAGTAATTTCTTGTTTGATTTGGTGTGGTAGTGGTAGTCAGATTCGAGACAGAACGCCTAGACTTCCTCGGGACGTTTCTAATGTTTGCTTCATAGTATTTTATTCCCACTCCGCCAACCTCAGTCATTTGTGGCATACGCAATCTTGTCATAACCAATGGCAGCTGAAGTGACAAATATAGCTGCTCCGGCTGGGCATACAAAGGAAAGTAAAACAATGATTGTTGGTCGGATTCAGTCAAATGACTTGACCTGATCTATGTCGTAGTTCGTATGCGCTTTCGCACCAGACCTCGATGATTGTTATTATGAGATTTCAAGTCTGACATCCATTCTCGTGATATATATCAGCACTGTACTAACTAAATGTAAACGTCTGTACAACGATGAACCCAGCCATTGTGACGCATCAAACGATGGATAGTTTCTTCTCGGTTAAGTAATGTCAGTCTAGCAAAAGAGCCTTATTTCGGTTGTTCATTATCTGACTGAATACAACACACCTATGCATTTAACACTAGAAAGGGTAGACTGAGTAACTGGAAAAATCAGGTGTAAAATGGACCAAAGAGATGTGATCTGATGGTGCTGGAGCTAGGCGGAATACAAATTGTGTATGTACAAACAACGGGATTATCCAGAGGAATCATGATCAATTCCGCCAAGGCAAGGATAGGAGACAAGCTAAATTTGGAGCGGCTACCTCTCAAACCCCAGATCCGGTGAAAGGCTTATGGATACCGACGGGATGATCTGTTTGAACTGGGTGGGCGGCTACTGAGATGGTGAACGTTCCGCTCAGTCTTCGGGTTAGCCAACTTGGGTGATGCTGGCGGACGCGTTCGGATAAACGTTTTATGATACGGCTTATGTAACTTGTCACACAGGAATAAGGGAAATGGTGTCCACAGGTCAACTTCACTGCAATTTGTTCCTTAACTAAATGAATAGCATAGGTGTGAAACTGATATACTTAAGATAGCATCGATGTATGAATGGGTTGAATTTTGAACACTTATCTGAGTCAAACTAATGCAGTTTTTTCCATTATATGCAATAATAATCCCATATCGTATGAAAGTGCCGTTATTTTCAACCTTATTGTTACTGTTAGTGGTCGTTTAGAGCAGGCATTCGCAACCTTTATTAAGCCGTGGCCCCCTTTAGAACCTTCTCATTTCCAACGGCTCCATCCTTGAACATCACAATTTCAGCAATCCGCAGCGTCTAACAGACACAAACCTGTGATCTCCGGTGGCCATTTGGTATCTTCTGTTTTGACGGCGAAGATTTTAATGTTGGTATCCCTGTTCTTTCCCTTAAAAACCCCACATTTCAACTTTCACAGCCTCAAGAAAAGAACCTTATGCGGCAACACCAAGCCAACTGTCTGTAATTACACAAAAGTCGTCATTTATATGCAAAAGTGTATTTACTTTTGTTGGCTATTTACTGTAAGGCATGTGCTGAATTAAGTGGTGTATTAACTGCGTAAAAATACGCTTGTCGAGATATTAATACAAGCTTTGAGCCCGATGTCCTTGATTTGGCTTGTTTATATCCGGTTCCAGACTTCAGAGTGTGCGAGTCAAATATCTCCTCTCGCTGAAATGTCAAAGCTGTTTCAAATTTTTGTTGAAGAAACCAGTCTGTTGAATCCACATTCAACCGCGTGTGATAGACTTTTCAGGCAGATAGCCATTGACTACATTGAATATGGACTGGCTCTTTGTATGAATTTTATATATCGTGGAAAACAGCATCTCTTCTATTAATTCATTATCATTGAATAATCAGGAATATGCCGCAAGAACAGCGTGCTTATCAGATAAATTATTTTTATCTATTCGAAGCGAAAATTTCCTGGATTGTAGTGAGATAACCAAAGTACTTTCTATGTCCTGTGACATCTGTGCTATTCACCTAGATACAGTTGTGGTGTTGAGCAGAATGACTTAAACTGCTCCTTGTGGATTTATATACATCAGGTATTTTGTATTTATTTTCCTTTTTCATTTACGTAGTGTGGCACAGTAGCTGAGGTGTTTCCCACTGCTAGCTGACGTGTTTAATGATGATGATGATGATATACATCAGGTACGAAAGCATTATTGATGTTAAAAGCAAAGTAATATTTGCTCCAAACTTATGTGGACCGATTGGCAATCAAATTGCTGATTTTCTAGGACGCAGTAAGTACAATGGTCATTTTACCCTGTCAGAAAATATTGTCTTTAAAGTTGGTATGTTTTCGAAGCTATTCCGCGGCTTTTTCAAAAATTCATACTTTTAGCCTTAACCCTTATTAAGACTTCCGAAATGATTTGTTAGTGTACCTAGTCACATAAAAATGTTTTATAAATCAAACACCAAGTTAGAGTAGGGTTTTGAAGTGATGCGATAAATCCAAATGTCAGGTATTCTGCGGAGTACTGCCAAAACATATTCGTTGCCAAGGAGATCATTTCTGGAATATGTTTGTGAATTGTTAATATATATATATATATATTCATATACATTGCTTTCGTTTTCTTTTGCTTGTACATTTACATCGTGGATATTAGATAACATCACTCGACAAGGCGAAACACGCAGGTAGGATGAATAAATAAACGCCGTTGCAAAGAGATCTGTTTTCGGTAACTCACATCCGGCAAACACCTTTACAAGGATAACTGGGATACACATAAGCCAATGGATGCCGAAATGTAAGTAGGGGAGAGTCCGAATTTATTCGGACGGAACGTAAATTGTTCGGGCTAATTGGTAAAGCCTGGATTGTCGATGAAGGCGGACTTTATTTGACCCAAAGCTTTCGATCTACTGAACTGATGGTTTTCCGCAGCAGTGACAAGAACATACCCAGCAGCAAATCCACAAGTTCTTGCTGAGACCACACCATTTATTAACCAACCCCTTAAAGATAGATTACCAGCCATCTCCGAATCGTACGTGGTATATCTATTTACTTGCACCTGTGGTGCTAAGTACCTCGGACATACGACCAGGCGTCTGTCAACATGGATATATGAGCACTGTCTCGGGTCTCTACGAAAAGGCACTACCGGAAGTATCAGAAGAATTATCCTTAACATCTGGTTCAAAGTGCACACGAAATTCTGACGAATGGTGCCTTGAACGTTTTCAACACCGTGTCCAAACGTTATCCTAAGTGGATTAAGAGACGCCTCCTTAAGATTGCGGAATCGATAGCGATCAAGATAACGCAACCGGCGGTTTGCAAGCGGTGGATGTTACTGCAATCTATCACGCTGCCGTGGCCGTGATAAAGATCCATCCGCATGGAACACTGATGAGACCAAA